AGGAGGGGGGGGGAGAGCTCACCTGCTCCTGCTTCCTCCTCCGTCTGCTGATTGCAGAGCTCCCCCGCCCCCCGCGAGTTTTGCGGGTCTCCTCTCTTGTTAGATATATATATGGTTCTTATTTCTTTTTGTTTCGGTTATAGGTCTGAGAGTTTCATATTCTATGCAAGACCAGTGAGAGAACCAGTTTGGTGTAGTGGTTAAGTGCGTGGATTCTAATCTGGGAGACCCGGGTTTGATTCCCCACCCCTCCACTTGCAGCTCCTGGATGACCTTGGGCAAGCCATAGTTCTGTCAGAGCTGTTCTCTCAAGGACAGTTCTCTCAGAGCTCTCTCAGCCCCACCGACCTCACAGGCAATGTTCCCTCTAAGCTGTGGAGTCTTGTGAGCAAAAATTCTACTTTGTGAGCTACTGGCATTAAAGTTGTGAGCGAGCAATTTGGCTCCTGCATAAATCCGTTTGCTCTGGAGCCCTCCTTCCTGAGCTGAGACAAAAATGTGTGAGCCGGAGGCTACAAAACTGTGAGCTGGCTCACACTAACTCGGCTTAGAGGGAACACTGCTCACAGGGTGTCTGTTGTGGAGAGGGGAAGGGAAAGGAATTTGTAAGTCACTCTGAGACCCCTTTGGGTAGTGAGGAGCGGGGTATAAATCCAATCTCTTCTTCTTCTTCTATGTTCTTCTAGCCATTTATAAAACTTTGGCCATGTGTTCTCAACATCTTTGTTATTTCCTCTCAAAATTCAGGTTAAAGTGTCCATCTCTGCTGTTTCCAGTATTTTATTTATAACTTCTTCCTTTGAAGGGGGTTTCACTTTTTCTCCAGTATTTGACATATAGTGTTCTTGCTGCTGTCACCATATGAGCCAGCCTTGTTTCTGAAGGAGTACCATTCTGGGCGATTCTGCATTGGCTTTCCCCTCCGTTGTTTTACCAAACCCACCTTGGAACAGAAATCCCCCTCTGCACTGCAGGCCGCTTCCACTTTCTTTGATCATCGGGTTTTATGGCACCCTCTACACTGCATGCCGCTTTGACTTTCTTTGATCATCGGGTTTTATGGCACCCTCTACACTGCATGCCGCTTTGACTTTCTTTGATCATCGGGTTTTATGGCACCCTCTACACTGCATGCCGCTTTGACTTTCTTTGATCATCGGGTTTTATGGCACCCTCTACACTGCATGCCGCTTTGACTTTCTTTGATCATCGGGTTTTATGGCACCCTCTACACTGCATGCCGCTTTGACTTTCTTTGATCATCGGGTTTTATGGCACCCTCTACACTGCATGCCGCTTTGACTTTCTTTGATCATCGGGTTTTATGGCACCCTCTACACTGCATGCCGCTTTGACTTTCTTTGATCATCGGGTTTTATGGCACCCTCTACACTGCATGCCGCTTTGACTTTCTTTGATCATCGGGTTTTATGGCACCCTCTACACTGCATGCCGCTTTGACTTTCTTTGATCATCGGGTTTTATGGCACCCTCTACACTGCATGCCGCTTTCACTTTCTTTGATCATCGGGTTTTACGGTACCTTCTGCATAGATTTATGGCTGTTCAGGGGCGATTACACAGTCAGCATGGCCTTGCCCCGGGATATCTGAATGTGGTTTTGAGCCGCACCTTTCCCTCAGGGTTGAGAAAATGTGGCGCGAATGCCAGATGCAGATTCGCCCTGTGTCTGAAATCTCCTGCTGGTCTGTTTATTACCATATTGCGTAGAGAGCATCGGGCGTGCATTGTTTGCTGGAACGTCCAGCTCCCTCTATTCATTCACGACCTTCTCCTACAGGCTGCACCCACACAGGGATGTCTATGCAGCCTAGCCAGTGCAATAAATAGCTTGGGGATGGACGGGAATGGCATCTACACACGGCATCTCCTGCCATCTGCCTCACACTGTCACATCTGCCCAAGAGTGTAGACGAGGAAGAGAGAAGAGATTGGATTTATACCCTGCCCTTCACTACCCAAAGGAGTCCCAGAGTGGCTTTTGCAACTGATCTCCAGCTGACAGAGATCAGCTCTCCTGGAGAAAATGGCTGCTTTGGAGGGTGGACTCTGTGGCCTTGTACCATGCTGAGCCCCCTCCCCTCCCCAAGCCCCGCCCCCTCCTGGCTCCACCCCCAAAAGTCTCCAGGTATTTTCCAACCCAGACCTGGCGACCCTATCTATAAGTTAGTTATAGTTGCTTTGAAAAAAAGTCCTAAGCGGACTACCTGTTGACTTCACTAAATAAAGTACTTTCTTTAGTCCAGCCTGAATCTATTGCTCATCAATTTCATTGGGTGCCGGTAAGTTTTAGTATTGCGAATGAGGGAGAAGCAGTTCTCTGCTCTCTTTGGTGGGCAGCATGTTTAGATCTGAAACTGGGCTATCTGAACGGCCTCATCCCCCTTCAATACAACTAGGGATGCCAGCCTCCAGGAGAGGCCTGGGGATCCCCCGGAATGATAGCTCATCTCCAGGCTACAGGTATTTATTCCCTTGGATAAAATGGATGCTTTGGAGGGTGGACTCTATGGCATCAGACCCCAGGCTCCACCAATGTTCGCTCTATGCTGTGGAGTCTGGTGAGCAAAAATTCTACTTTGTGAGCGACTGGCATTAAAGTTGTGAGCGAGCCATTTGGCTACTGCATCAATCAAGGGAAAACTCTATGGTTTTCCCTTGTATGGTTGTGGCCCCGCCCCCAGCGTGCCCGGCGTCATAACGTCACTTCCTAGTGACGTGCATGCGGTGCGCACGCGCTTTGCACGCGCGCTCCAGGATCCACCTGGGAGTCTCCCACTCCAGAGGTGAGTACTACTTGGCAACCCTATATCCGATGGAGTCTGAGCTTTGACTGTTGAAATCTGGTTGGTCTTGAAGGTGCTGTTGGACTCAAAGCTGGCTCTTCCAGCAAAACAGGATATATTACAGAGGTGGGGGGGGGACTAAAACGAGCGCTCCCCTGAGATAAACTAAAAGGGACTGCTGGCTCTGTGTGAGCCAGAAGCTAAAAAACTGTGAGCTAGCTCACACTAACTCATCTTAGAGGGAACACCGGGCTCCACCCCCAAATCTCCAGCCTAGATCTGGCAACCGTACTCCCCTCATCCCCCACTGATGGCCAACCCTAAATAAGACATCGGCCAAGAGAGTCAGTTCAGTTCACACATTCTGCTAACAGCCAACAAGTGTTCAGTGACAACACACGGGCAAACCAGGCAGAAGTCTCATACTGCTTATCCCTTGAAGTTTTTCATCAGGTTGCGGGAACGAGCCTTCTCAGGAAATGTCTCCCCGGTTATCTAATCTCTTGACCAACTGCCAAATCACATGCAAAATAACTTCCTCTACTGCAGTAAAAAAGAGCAAGAGTCCAGTGGCACCTTAAAGACTAACAAAATTCGTGGCAGGGTATGGCCTTCCGTGACTCACTGCTGACTGAGAACTGGCTCTAGAAAGAAGAGGAGGAGACTGAATTTATACCCCGTATGCTTTCCGATTTCCCGGGGGGGGGGGCTGGGGCTGGGCCAGAGGCATTGCTTTGCTAGGAGCAAGGGTGGCTCCCGAGGGAGGCTGAGCACCTTCCTGAAAATTTCGGCGGGGGCTAACGCCCCACCGCCCCCACGAAGATTACGCCTACCCAAAGGAGTCTCAGAGCAGCTTACAGTCTCCTTTCCCTTCCCCTCCCCACAACAGACACCCTGTGAGGTCGGTGGGGCTGAGAGAGCTCTCTCTCGAGAACTGCCCTTGAGAGAACAGCTCTGAAAGAACTTATGACCGACCCAAGGTCACACCAGCAGCTGCAGGTGGAGGAGTGGGGAACCAAACCCGGTTCTCCCAGATTAGCGTCCACACTGTTAACCACAAGGCATAAGGCAGTGAAGAAACCAAGAGACATATTGAATGTAAATATTTGAGAATCCTCAAATGCAAACAACATCACGTTTGCAGTACATACATCAGATGGGTCAAGTACAGGTGTTGTTAAATATTGAAGTATAGGCCTGGCCAACAGTGATAACCACATTCCCTACATGGAGGAGCGTTTTCACCATTGCAGCTTCCCTCTGCCCAAGGTGAGAAAATACAACTCATATTTAGGGTATATTCACCCAGCTGTCAGCGTCTCACAGTACCCAACACTTCAAACCCGAGATGTTCAAAATGCTCTGAGAGAACTTGTGACTGACCCAAGGTCATACCAGCAGCTGCATGTGGATGAGTGGGGAATCAAACCCGGTTCTCCCAGATCAGACTCCGCGCTCCTAACCACTACACCAAACTGGCTCTCCTTTCCCCTCAACTCTTGACATAGTAACTTTGGGTGGTCTCCCCAGAGTCCGTTCAGCAGACCCCAAGGCCAGAGGGGATGAGGGCAGAACAATGAGGTTTCTAGTTCTTGGTAACAAAAGCATCCGCTCTGGGAACTTGGAAGTCATTTCCCCGCTATACATGTAAAGGAACATTAGAAGCAGAGAATCAAAACTCCCTTCCAACCTTCCAAACAGGTGCAAAACAGAAAGATGATCCCAGGGTGGGACAAGGACTCAAAGCTTTGCTTTAAGGCCAGATCAGATAAGAGGCCAATTGGCGTCCCTGGAAGATACAACTTTAAAGACCTGCAGCGAAAGCAGCAAAGCTCTTTCACAGAAGACACGTCTATGGAACAGAGAAATGGAAGAGGCAGGGCGGGCCCCAGCTTATTTTGCACCCTAGGCAAGGATCCCTTCTGGCGCCCCCCCCCCTTGCGCCTGCCATTTTTCAAAAATAAATGCATTTTAGGAAGAATGAAAAACACAAATAATCAAGAAACTCAGAGTACAGGGCTGGGTGCAGTTTGGCGCCCCTAAGGGCCGGCCTGCTCTAGGCGATCGCCTAGTTTGCCTAGTGAGTGTTTTTATAACTACAGCATGGGGGGGGGGGGACGGACCCTCAAGGCAGATTTCTGACCTAGACGTTTGGGACTGAAGAAGAGAAGAGATTGGACTGGATTTATACCCTGCCCTTCACTACCCAAAGGAGTCATACGGGCCAGAAAATGCGGGGGTGGGGGGAAGCGTGGCTGTTTGCCCTGGGGCAAAATAACGCGCGGTTGAGCGCGCAGACGTCCCGTGGAGGTCCCGTGGTTAGGGGGGAGGTGCCAATCACAGGACAATCCTGCGGCGCTGCAAAGAAGCGGGGCCGTGGGGCAAATGGGGTTGTGTTTTTTTTTTAAACTAAAGTGTGCGCATGCTCCGTTGGTTGCTTGTGCGGATCCGTGGAGACTTGGGGGAAAAAACCCTTTTTGTGAGGGGACATGGGCGGGCGCCGGAACTACCACCGGAAACGCAATCAGACGCCTGCCCATGCCCTGCGGTTTCCGGAAACTAGTACCTCGGAGAGGTACTAGTTTTTTACAGCGCATCTCCGGAGTGAAGCCTCGGGTGAGCCACGGGAGCTCTACACTTCCCAGATGTGGCGGTGAGATCGCGCCCGGAAAATCCGCCTATCTTCCGTCTCTCTAGCGTGCCTAATGCGCCGTGTGACCGCAGCCTCAGAGCGGCTTCCAATCTCCTTCCCCTCTCCACAACAGACACCCTGGGAGGGAGGGAGGCCTGAGAGAGCTCTGAGAGAAACTGCTCTTGAGCGAACAGCTCTGAAAGAACGTGTGACCGACCCAAGGGGAATATATCACACGTCTTCTGCCACAAACTGACAGCTGAAATGACACATTGAAGAGGCTCCAGTTCTTATAGAAGTCTAGCAACAGACCAGGCTTTTATATACAGCTGACAGCACTGGTTACAGAACTCACAGAGAGAGGGAGAGTGTGGTATAGTGGTCAGAAAGCTGGGCTAGGACCTGGGAGAACCACCCTCCCACCACAAAATGGTGGCCAACAAGAGAAAGGGAGCACAGTAGCAGTGAATGCCATGGCGACAGGTGCCCGGGCCAGGGTTGCCAACCTCCAGGCGAGGCTTGGAGATCTCCTGGAATTACAACTGCTCTCCAGACCAGAGCTCAGTTCCCCTGGAGAAAATGGCTGCTTTGGAAGAGGGACTCTATGGTATTCTAGCCTGCTGAGGTCCCTCCCCACCAATGTTCCCTCTAAGCTGTGGAGTCTTGTGAGCAAAAATCCTACTTTGTGAGCTCCTGGCATTAAAGTTGTGAGTGAGCGATTGGGCCGCTGCATAAATTAGTTTGCTCTGGAGCCATCCTTCCTGAGCCGAGACAAAAATGTGTGAGCTGGAGGCTAAAAAACTGTGAGCCAGCTCACACTAACTCAGCTTAGAGGGAACACTGCTCCCTACTCTGTGCCCCCGACACTTCTCCAGGAATTTCCCTAACCCGGATTTGGCAGTCTTAGTGTGGACATTGTTCCTGTCCACTTCCACCCCCCCTTGTTTCCACACCCCCATGCGGATGCAGCCTAGTAAGCAAAAGATTATTACCTTGCTTCCAAATGAAGAAACTTCAATGAAATCTCTAAACTGACCTTTAAAAAAAGAGAAAGCAGAGGCTCTTTAAAAAAAAACAACAAAAAAACCCCCAGTCTGCACACTGCTGACACCGCGAGACAGTGAAATAATTGTTGTGGTATTAAGACGGGTGCATGAATTTGCAGGAACCTAGAATCCTGCACTCTGGAACAAAGGACACAGCCCTGTTCTAAAGCAACAAGTACAGTTGATTTACTTCCTCCTAATAACAGGTTTGACCTGCTCAGAGCAAATACCCCCGTTCAAGAGTCAAAAGGCAGACCTATATGTCAAACAAATGTTGGAAGTGTAAAAAAATGGAATGCTCCTTTTATCATATGTGGTGGCCATGTGACAAGGCAAGAAGTTATTGGGCTGAGATACATAAAGAAATGGAAAAATTATAAAATGGAACTTTAAAAAATAACCTGAAATATTGCTGTTGGGACTTAAAATGGAAGAAGTTAATGTGCAGAAAAGAACATTGATGATTACAATATGATTACAACTGCTAGAATGACCTATGCACAGTGTTGGAAACAAGACTGAATCCCGGAAATTGGGGAATGGATAAAGAAATTAATATTCATGGTTGAAATGGACAAAATGACAAGGAAACTTAAGAACCTTGAGGCAGAAGAATTCTATGCAGATTGGAAAGACTTTAAAGAGTATCTAGAAAAATATTGGGATGTAAAGGACAATTTAATTTGCTTTGACAATTATTGAAAAGTTAATGTTATTAGATGAAAGTTAATTAAGAGAAAATACTAGTAGAAAGAAACAGTACCGGTAGACTATAAATAGAAGATAAGTGGAAAATAGAAAAGAACTAAGATATGGGCTGGAGGTTCGAGCACTGTGGGAAGCCGAGGGGGGGGGGGAGAAGAAAGGATGTATAACAAAAAAGAATATGTTGTATGTTTTAACTAATAATATATCCTAATAAATTGTTTCTGAAAGAAAGAAAAAGAGTCAAAAGGCAGACCTGTGATCCTTCGGAACAAATGCACTAACTCCCTCCCTGCCCCCCTGTAAGCACATTCATTCTGGAGTCCGGGGCGATTCTGCATCTAGCGCTCGCTCCACATTTTCTCAACACTGAGGAGAAGGTGCAGCACAAAACCACATTCAAATACCTCATGGCAATGCCGTACTGACTGCAAAGTCACCCCTGAATGGCCAAAAATCTATGCAGAAGTGTAAGGGATGAGGGCTGAACGAGCCTATAATTTGCTAAGCCCTGATGATTGGAAGGGGGCCATGAGTTTGACAGGATCCATCCTTGGAGGAGGAAGGTAGCCTGGTGGGGGTAATTGCCGGCAGCCACAAGGCTTGGTTATCTCAAGGGAGTGGCAGTAGCCCAGGTTGTTAGATGCTGATTAACCTTTCAGGAGGCACCAGAGTATCCTTGGACATCGAGTTGATACGCTGCCTCTGGAGATGGAACTGGATTCTGTTCTATGGTGATTTACTACTGAACTGTCTATGAGGACTTGTCGTATAAGAAGCTGCAGCTTCCCTTTTTAGAATTGCCAATGTACCTTTGCATTCAAATGTCTTACTGCCAACTGCTCATAGCTTGGATGATTTCTGCACTGCATACATCCTGAGTGTTTGAATGTTTTTATTCAATTAAATGAAATAAGCCTCTTAAAGATATTTGCTGTGTGCTGAGAGTTCCTGTCTCCTGGCTAGCTACAAACTTATCTACTGAAGCGAACCCCAAAGTCGGTTGGACCGGACAAGAAGGTACCATAAAATCCGATGATCAAAGGAAGCGAAAGCAGCATGGAGTGTGGAGGCGACCATAAAATCCAATGATCAAAGGAAGTGAAAGCAGCATGCAATGCAGAGGGGAATTTCTGTTTCAACGCGGGTTTCGTAAAACAACGGAGGGAAAACCCAATGCAGAATCAGCCTCAGACAGCAACCAGAACTGCTGCCTTTAATTCCCCCCCGTGACAATGACAGAGTCCAGACGAACAAATAGGACTCATACTCCGAATGCTTCCTTTCATACAGGAATGGGGAATCCTGCGCCTGGGAAAAAATCCACCTTTACCCTTGACTTTATGACATGGGAAGCCATTCAAACAATGCCTCCCAATCTGCAAATCTATTGTGAGACAGTCCTGAATAGGGCTGCCAACTCCGGGTAGGGAGATTTGGGGGTGGAGCCTGGACAGCAAGGGGTTTGGGGAAAGGAGGGACCTCAGTGGGGTACAATGCCGTAGAGTCCACACTCCAAAGCAGCCATTTTCTCCAGGGGAGCTGATCTCTGTGGTTTGGAGATCATTTGTAATTCTGGGAGAGCTCCAGGCCCCACCTGGAGGCTGGCGACCATCAGAAAGGCCTGACCTCATACTTTCCTGTGTATTTCAGTCAGCTGAACAGCCTCCAAATGACACCCACCGCTGTGTGTACAAAGCCATAGGAAACTTGTTTCATGTACAAACACTTTAAAAAAATTATGCCACAAAAATAATTCTTCACGGTGCCACAAGACTCTTGTGTTAAGTTTGTGTTACCACAAAAACCACTAGGTTTGCATGTGGTGTGAAACTATTTCTTGTTTTCAGAGAAAATTGGTCTCTCTCTCTTTTTCTCTCTCTTTAGGGGCAGCTACTTATTAGCTAATTCAACCATCCCACAAGATTAATAGCAAGCATTTCCTATCCGTCTTTCCCACCTAGTAGCTAGTACATTATTTTTCCTTTGCTCCTTTACTTTTAGATTTACGTAGGGCCCATTTTCCAGGAAAGCAAAGTTTCATGTGGTTCCAATTCAAAATACTTCTTTCTTTCTGTCTTTCTGTCTTTCTGTCTTTCTTTCTTTCTGGAAACATTTGCAGCTAACTTTCACAGGAATGTGGCAAGCACCACAGCTTGGAACCAAATTTTAACAACTCAAAACATGAGACAGGAAATCCTGTTCTTAGTGATTGGAAGCCACCGAACAGCCAGAATGTCCATGTGACTGAGGAAGAACCGTCTGATTCTTAAAATTAGAACTCAAGCCCACGGCTATGGAAGCTTCGATATGACACTTCCATTTAGAATGGAACAAAAAAAGTTACTGCAAATTTAAACATTCTGTGCGTCGCGCATGAAGCGGCCCATCACGAATCAGACCACTGGCCCAGCATGGTCAGTAGAATCTACTCCGACTGACAGTGGCTCTCCAGAATCTCAGTTGGAGATCTTTCACATCATCTCCCCCCTGATCCTTTCAACTGGAGATTCGTTCTGCATGCCAGGCAGAGGCTCTACCTAAAGAGACACAGCCTCCCTCCCAAGCTGCGAGAGGTACGGAAAGAGGAGTCTGGGTTTTTTTGAATGTCCATTCCACTATTACAAAAGCCACATCCTGTACTAGCACATGACCAATAAAAAGAACAGGAAGTGTGCCCTAGCGGTTTCTGAAACTTAAGATGTCAAAGGTATCACAGGACACGGTCATGCACTCAAACCTTTAGAGCCAAGTTCTCCATTTTAAGAAAATCTGGAAGGGACAGTAATCTATATGACACTACGAGAACACACTCAACCATAAAGCGGGTGACACATCTGCTTTGGTTGCTGGACTGGTCAATAAACAGCCGCTGTTCAAGTGACCAATCTCATATTGGTTAAATGTTTTTAAAGCATTCACTTTAAGAGAGTAAATGATATTCTAAATGCCAATAAAAGGGTAAAGGTAAAGGTTCCCTTGCTCGAAAGCCAGTCGAGTCCGACTCTAGGGCTGCGGTGCTCATCTCTGTTTCAAAGCCGAAGAGCCAGCGCTGTCCGAAGACGTTTCCGTGGTCATGTGGCCGGCATGACTAAACACCAAGGCGCACGGAACGCTGTTCCCTTCCCACCGAAGTGGTACCTATTTATCTACTTGCAATTTCTTGCTTTCGAACTGCTGGGTTGGCAGGAGCTGGAACTAGAGACGGGAGCTCACTCCGTCATGTGGCAACTCGGGTCTTGAGCTGCTGAACTACTGACCTTCCACAGCCTGCAGTTCAGCGTCTTAACCACTTGAGCCACCGCAGCTCCATACATGCCAATAGATGAGATTAATTAATTGTCATTGGGAAATTTAACATTTCAAAAGGGTGGTGGCGTTTTGACCTTGCCAGGTATTTGTGAACAATTTTTTCTTTAGCTTTGTATCACAGGAAACCAGTATCAGACTTCAGCTTCTATGTCTCTCTGTAGGAACAGGCTGTGGCTCAGTGGCAGAGCATCACCTTGGAGCGCAGAAGGTCCCTGGTTCAATCCCTGGCATCTCCAGCTGAAAGGACTGGGTAGTAGGTGATGTGAAAGACCTCTCTACCCAATACCCTGGACAGCTGCTGCCAGTCTGAGTAGACAATACTGACCCGGATGGAGCAATGCTCTGATTCAGGCTAAGGCAGCTTCATGTGAACATAAGAACATAAAAGAAGCCAATGTTGGATCAGGCCAATGGCCCATCCCGTCCAACACTCTGTGTCACACAGTGGCCAAAGATACCAGGTGCCATCAGGAGGTCCACCAGTGGGCCCAGGACACTAGAAGTCCATGCTTGTAGCCGCCGCCACCTCCTGTGGCAGTGAATTCCATGTATTAATCATTCTTTGGGTGAAGAAGTACTTCATTTTATCCGTTCTAACCCGACTGCTCAGACATTCCATGGAGTGCCCATGAGTTCTTGTATTGTGAGGGAGAAAAGTACTTCTTTCTCGACCTGCTCGATCCCATGCATAATCTTGTAATCCTTGATAATGTCACCCCTCAGTCGTCATTTCTCCAAGCTAAAGAGCCCCAAGTGCTTTAACCTTTCTTTGTAG